CGGCGTTCGCCATTAGGAATCCATTCTACCCCGTTGGTCAATCGGATCGCCGCGTTCGAGCAGCCGAACGCACGGATTCCGGCGCGAGGAGTCGTCGCGACGCCGAGTCTCGCGATGCCTGCCCGGAACGGGGATCCGCGTGTCTCTCGCGATTACCTTTCAAACGAGCGGAACAGCCCCGTGACGAGGAAAAAGCTGGGACCGTGAAATCCCAGGGCGCGCGCCATTCTTATTCGCGAGAATGCTCAGGTGAGCGGGATTTCCTGACAAATTCTCTCCGCCTCTTTTTCCACCCGGCCCTCGTCCCCGTTGCGACGTCGCGCTCAGGCGCCCCCCCCCCCTTGGGCGAGGGTGACGGGGTGCAAAAAAGGACGGGACGAGGGAGAGAGGGCGGAGGACAGAGCAGGCAAATTAAGCGTAATACCCGCATGGCGGCGACGTCTCGGCGAGACGACGCGGACGAGACGCCTGGCAGAGATTACTCTGGATATAATCCGGAATAGAAAGTCACTTTGTCTCCGAGGGAGTATCCTGCACCGGTTAATTGGCTTTACAGCGCCTTTGGTCCCGTCGATTTCTCCGCCTCGGAACGATTAAACGAAACGCGCGCCGCGTGTTTTCCGCGTGGTACGCGATAATCCGAGGGAATTGTACGAGAGAGGCGAGCGGAGGAGCGTGGGAAATAACGAGGCGCGAGCGTTATCCGCGACGCGATGGCGGCGAGCGGCAGGGTGGCCGAAATAAGGGCGGAAAAACGGGCGAAGGCGGAATTCGTATTAAACACGGCTCGGAATAGGTTGGCCGAACGAGCGTTGATAACGCGGTCAGCGGGGACGCGGCGCCTAACGCGACGGTCTAAATCTGGCGGAACGTTAATAAACGAAAGGTGCACCGTGGGACGTGTCGCGGAAATGAATTTCCGTGCGAGAGTCTGGCAATAATCGCGCTAGAGACGCTCGTAACGTCGCGCGGAACGAGCCACGTCCGGCTTCGGTTTTATCGTGGCTGGTGGAACAAGCTGGGTAGTTAGCCGTGAATTCCGCGCGGAGGTAAGCGGGCGTAGCGGCACCTGGCGCGCCCGCTGGATCGGGTATAAACGAGTCCAGTCGATCTCGGGGATCAACGTCGAATTAACGCACTCGCAAATAATCGGCGATCGCGACGAGCTCCGTTCCAAGCCTGTCAGATCGTCCAGCGATCATTCCGGCGAGCGTTATTGCCGTCGGCAAGATTTATGGACCGAACCGACGCGAATTCGGTCCGCTCGTTACGCGATCGACGGGAAAATACGAGGGGGAGAAAGCGCGTGCGGGATACCTTGGCCAAGCAGCTACGGGAGCAGCGTTATTCGCCGCCGTAGCGATACAGCGATTGTAAGTCAGGATGAGACGCGTTATTGAAACGTTAAGGGGAAGTTACGGGCATTCTTGGCGCGTTGCTACTTATCTCGCGGGGAAAGACGAGTGCCTCCATTCACTTAGGATCATCGTAAAATCCATTCTTAAGGCGGTCAGGCCTGCTAAGCCGCCGAGTTACCGCCTAATCTTGCCACCAGTGGCACGGCTCCGCGTGGAATATCCAAGTTGCCCGTAATCGAATGCCTGCCGTGCTTCTGCGAGTTGCTCCAACCGGAGAACCGATCGACGGAGTCGCGCTGCCGGAAGTTCCTCCGCGTCCCCTAATTTCCGCGTTCGCCGCGACGTCGAAGTTTTCCCGATCTACGCGTTACCACCGAACCAACGACTTTGCCCCTGTCGCGGAAAAATCACGCCGCCTCGGAGGGTAATTACGAGAAGCTTCGGCACGGCACGCATCGGAACGCGCAGGAGTTGGCGGAAGCTTATCTCCGCGGGGAAAGTTGGCGAGGGAATTTGCAGCTTGCATCGGCGGCGGCCTTGGGCTCGGGAAACGGCGCGCCGCGACGCACAGAGACGGCATACGCCGGCGATTCGCCTGGGCCGGTCGTTAGAAAATCCTCGTGGATCGATTCTCTTTGGAGCGCGCGAAAGGGGTTCGCGGAGGGGTGGTGATGGCGGCGCGGCCGAGGGAGGAGGATCGGCAGGCTAACCGGCCGCAAAAACGTAACGAGATGAAAGGAGAGCGCGAAAGACGGACCGAGTCATGAACGAGGTGGAATACATAAATAGAAATCTCGGTTTATCTCTCTCCATCTGGCCGTGCCTCCAGCTCTCCTTCTTCCCCTTCCTCCGACCCTCTTCCCTCCTCCCAGCTTCCATCCCGTTCTCCGTCGCGGCGCGCGAATACTCCTGGAAACGCTTCTTCTCGCTCGCTCGCGGTGGCATATATACGCGCCTACTAACCGGAGAGTGGCGGTAGTCTAGACGGAGTGTCGATTTTTGCCGCGGCACCAAATTAGAAACCCTTCCCTGCTGGATCCATCGCGGTTCCACCGCCTCTCGCACCCCTCCAGCCTCGCCTCTCTTTTTTTCTCCTTTCCCGTGTCCGTCGCTCCAGACTCTCTCTCTCTCTCTCTCGCTTCTCTTCCTCGTCCTGCCCCTCTCCTGCCCCTACGCTCCGCTCCTCGCCCGCCGTTTCTCTCGTTCTCGGTGTATCTCCGTATCTCGTGAACGCGCGCATGTGAAATCGCTTAAAGGGGATGAACAGACGACGACGACGACGACGACGACGACGACGAGTCGTGGCCCTTGGCTCTCGTTCCACTCGTGCAAATATTTTCGCTCCGTCCCGCGACTTTCGCCGGTCCAAAGGACGCCCGGCACCTGGACGCCGGTGAAAAATCTCCTATCCGATCGATCTCTGCTCCCTCTCGCTCGAGCGAACAACGTTCTCGTCCGATCGAATTCGCGGCTAGTCGGTCGATACATCGAAATGACGATAAGATGTATCGCGGGATGGAAAACGAGAATCACGCACAGCAAATTCGAGCTGCTGAATGCAAAACATCGGTGATCTCGCATTCATCCGCGGGCATCGGCCGCGCAGCGTGCATACATTTATGTAAACACGCGTAGGGGTGGCCGGAGAGGCCCGTGAAAGTACGGTATCGCATAAAAGGCGCATAAAGGTGGAGCATAAAGGGAAAAAGTTGAAGTTAATCCAGGGGCCGCGCAAATTGTGTTCGCGCCGCACTGCTCTTCGCTTTCATTACCTTTAACTCCCCTCTCGGCCTGTTTTAGCTTCCACCTGAGATGGCAATTACCCCGACCCCCGATCCGTTTCGGCGATCTCTCGATTCTCTCGTCGCGCTTCGATCCGCCCAAACGAGCCGGCGAATTAAAACTTCCCGCTCCGCGAAATCTCGCTGAAATCTCGCTGAAATCTCGCCGGAAAGCAAGTTCGTTTCTCTCTCCGCGAAAAGCGGATCGACCGATCGATCGTAGCACGAGAGGGTAGAAATTTAGGAGACGCGACGAAGGAAACGTCGATCCCACCGCCGCGATTAAGGGATTATTCCGCGAGTGTTGGCGGCGCAACGGGCACGGAAATTGCGTTCGATTTGCGCGAATTCGCGTGCGCGTTTCGTTAATCATCGCTGCAGCTGAAATGCCGGAATTAGTCGCAAGTGGCGCTATCCGTTTTATCCTATCTCGGTTTCAAAATTGCGCCAGCCAAGCTTGAAAAGCAATTCGAAATGACAGCTCCTCTAAGCCACGTCGCGGCTTTCGATCGACGACGGATTACGGCGCGAGCTTGTGCGGCGTTCGCGTCGATTAACCGCCGAAAAGCTTACGGGATATCCTTCCGTATTTCGAGCCGATATTTCGTCGAGGTCCAGCGAGGGTGGCCGAGGCTTGCCGGGGTGAAAATTGCCAGACGCCTTTAGCCCGACGTCGGAGCGGGGAAGAAAGCAGCGACAGCGTCGGCCAAAGTCCAAGATCCACCCTTGAAATTGTATCCGGTTGCGGATTCCAGCCGACCGTGGATTTACGATCAAGCTTCTCTTCTCCTCGGTCCGTTAACCCTCGGACGTGGACTCGCTGGATTGCGACGTGATACAAGGCCATCGGGAAACTGCTGCGACAAGTGGAAGGGTCGAGACAGAGGGCCATCCCGGCGCCGGTTGAATCGCGTCCAATTTAAGCAGCCGTCTCAGGGTGACCTCGCGCTGGGCCTCGCGATCGCAAGTGCCAAGCTTCGCGTTGCTCCCCGACCGTTCGACCTTGCCTCCTTCCGGCTTCCCACATCCGACGAGCAACCCTTAACCGACTTGGACGGACTCTGCCGATTGCCAGCGACTCGGCTGTGCCGATCGAGGCAGCTGCGTGCCATCATTCGATCGATAGCTGGCACTCTCTTCCGTTCGTTGATTCGTCGGCTGGTCGGCGAATAGGACGAAAAGGACGACGAGGAGTGGAGCTTATGGAGAAAGTCGGATCCAGGTCTGCCATTTGATGCTCGTTCACGAGGGAGCAGCACGGTGTGCGGAAAGTTGGCGCGAAGAGCGACTCGGATACGTTTGATCGGGCGAATTGGGCAACATCCGGGGTAAAATAAGGGCGAAATCGCGGCCCGCGTCGATCGTTATCGATATATTTGCGTTACGGGGGAATTCCGGCGGCAGTAATCCGCAGCGTTCGAAAAGTTATTAAATTTGCCGGCGTCTCGAGGGCAAGTTCGAGAGCTCCTCGGTAGAAGTTTCGGCTTCTTCATACGGAAAAACGAGTTTTCCCGGATAGAGAAGTCCAGAAATTTCAGACCGCTCTAAACCTCGCGGAAGCTCGCAGGCGAGGGTATTCGGATCCTCGGGAGCGCAGGCAAAACTTCCTGTTTGCCCGAACTTTGCGGAATCTTCTCCTGGGACTCGAGGGAGGCTACGCGAGCCAGGCCCGCCTCGAGATTCGTGTACTCCGCCGAAAGATAATAAACGAACTAATCCGCTATCTGGCCGCGTTTCCATTGAATATCACGAGAGCAAACGATTATCGCAAATCCCGTCTCGATAGTGTAAACTTTGCTTTTATATAGGCACACACAGGCGCTCCCGAAAGTCTAATGAAGATCACGTTATCTGTTCGCAGGCGGAGATCGAAAGTGGTGATATCCTCCGCGAAGCCCGAGGACAGCGGCAGATACGAGTGCGTAGCCGAGAGTACTTCCGGTCATCGGGCCTCACTCGCGGCCCAGCTTCTAGTCGCTCACGATACGAGAATTCCGGAAACCAGTGAGTATCCACGCATCTTTCCTTACAGAACAGCCACCTCTCTTGTCCCGCTTGTCGCACTCACGCGCGCTTTCATCGTCCGAGATTCCGCTCGTGTGTGGACGCTCGTCCCCCCTTGGAGTTCTACACGATATCTTCGTGGTATCTTCGTGGTTGGTAACCCCTTGATCGTGGTACTACGATAGGCTAGTAGTCTTCTATCGAAGAACGAAAGGAAAAAGGAAGGGGGACGTGCGTGAAGCTTTTCTAACAGGCCCTGCCTTAGACGGAGGGCGATACTTAGATAACGTAGGAACCTCTGTTTAAGGGAAGTCGAGGATTCGTCGAGGATTTGCGAGAAAGTCCTCGAACCTCCTCGAAGTTGGAATCCATCTAGCGGCGAGGATGAGAATGATGGTCGCTACGCGTATATTTCGTTTCCGCGCGATGAGAATGGATTCGAGACGCGTGTACGCGTCGCTCGCCGCGTTCGTCTCATTAATAAAAATACTCGAGAAACGCGGTATTCTAGCGCCCTTAAAAACAGCACGGCTTCGTTATTCGAGCGTCGATGATCGATACAAAAACGGCCAGAGGAACGCTCGGGGAACAAAGCGAACGGGAGACGCGTTTTTGTTCGACCACCGGCTGGATTTCCGGCGATCGATCGATCGGCGAACACCTGCCGATACATCGCCGCGCGTTTCAGTTTTTCCTCGTTGTCGTCATAACTCCGACGGTGCGTGCAACCGCCGCGGAATCACCATTGAATCCGCGAAAAAATAGCGGCGCGCGTTATACGCGCAGCGGGTCGCGACTTCGCGATACACTGCCTGGTTGCCTGCGACATTTCGATAACCCCATTGTCGTCGTGAAAATCATTTTTCTTCCCTTTTTTCTCTCGTTTTTCTCTCGTTTTTCTCTATTTCTGGTCCAATGCCGCCGCCAAAGGGAGTATAAAAGGTTACGGGAAATCCTTTGATCTGCCTCGAGTCGCGACGAGCCGGTTAAACATCGCGCGAGCGGAAAGGGCGGCCACGCGCGATTCTCGCGCCGCGTCGGGGACAATTTCGCGATACTCGCGCGTGCGGCACGGAGAGAAATAGGAAAACTCGGTCAGGACGTCTGGAACGGAAGGATAATCGATTCTCCACGGGAGAGAGGGAGTATCGGTTCACGGACGGCGCGGTCATTACGGTCGACGTAGCATCGTGTAAAGATGCGGCCACGATGTGCATAAACGTCTGAAAGAGTTCGCATCGGAGCTTATCGATCGGCAGCCGGCTAGACCTCGAGCGGAAGGGCCGCGGCGCGGAACGTTAGTTTATGGGTTTTCATAATACCTGCAACATTTGGCAAACGCTTTTCGCCGGCGTATTTATGCCGGCCGAGAAAAGTGCAGCCGCCGCGGATACAGTCGGACGGGAAAAACGCGGTGCTCGACCGCGTAACTCAGGTTACAGCTCGCGCAATTTCGACCGCGATCCCGGCTCGATTCGAGGGAATCGGCGTCGTTCGAACGAGAATTTCCATGCCGGGTAATATCGCGGGAACGAAATCGAGCGGATCGAGAGTCCGCGTGGGTACAGCAGACGCTGCCTCGCGATCGGACGAACGAGGAGGCAGACGACGAAACGGATATTCCGGGGGTAAAGATGGGCGCAAAGAGGCGTTGCAGAAGTGGGCCAGTGGAGACGTAGGTGATAAAGCAAGGATTAAGCACCCGATGCGATAATGCCTGCGCAGTCCGGCGGTTGCAGCGAGGCCGGGAAAGCTTGCGGTTCACCGCCACCGTGGGGCTGCTAGCTCGTATGACGGACAAAGGGCGACAATTACAACCCTGCCAGCTACGTCAGGGTTTCATATAGCTCTGAACTACCCGATGGCACGGGTCAGCTGCCCGTTTTGGCGTACACGCGCGTACACTCGAGCGGCCAGTAAATCCCGCAACGATGGAACGCTGTCCCGATTCTCGCGGAATTTCTCCGCATTTTCCCAAAACAAGCGACGCGTGCAACGCTGGGACAAAGGATCGATTCGCGGAACGACTACCCGTGCGAGGCTCGTCGCCAAAGTCGCAAAGACACCGAGCGGACACGATCGCGGGAACGTGCCACGGCGAACGGTCATCCCGCGCGTTTTTATTCGCACCAATGCCGCTCTCGAGGGCGTTCCGACGACGCGGCCGTGACTTCCGCTCCCCCGTTGGTTGGCTGCTCGATTGCGGTAACAGATTGCGGTAATGTTTATAAGCCTAGAGTTACTCGAAAGGGCGAACCGCGCTAGCTAGACTGCAATAACATTTACCACAAACTTTTACTACGGCTCGAATGCTACGGCCCTGCTCCCCTGGCCCGAGTGCTCTCTCCGCCGCACTATGTTTTAACAATTGCCGTTGCAGTCGCAATGGCACGCTTTACTACCGCCGAGGTGTAACTCGATACAATAACGCGCGTTCCGCGTCGTTTAGCCGGGGGAAAGAGCCGACTTACGCCAGCCGCCGTTGTTCTCCGCCACCTTCGCGGGATCGATTAAATTATGCACCGAGAGCAGCTCGGTTGCTCCACCGACCGCCGAATCCGAGGCAATCGCTGCTCGACCGGTTAGCCGTTCATCGATAAGCTCGCGACGTATCGCGGAAGACGCGGAGCCGAGGCTTCGTGCTCAAGTTTCGCGCGAGAAATCCTCGAGCGGTCAAATACCCGGAGCGAAGGGTGAGTGGCGAGGCCAGGAAAAAGCGGAGAGTTTCTTTTGTGCCGCGCGCGCGAATGCACGCGTCAGCGTGGCCAGAAAGCACGGAGCTGTAAAAACTCGAGACGGGGGGCGGCAATTTATCTGCTCGCGCGTGCAACATTGCCGGCCTGGAGGGTCCTCGAAGCCGATATCTTCCGTGGCGATTCTCTGGCGCGAACGAGGACTTTCGTCCACTCGAAACTCGCGGGTGTCACGAGGAATTGTCGCGCGAGGGGGCGAGACGGGGACAGGAATCCTTAGGACGAAGAGGACGCGGCTAATGACTCCGGTTAAATACCGATACGCCGGATAACGATAACGGAGCGAGGCGGAGAAAGATCCGGCGCCGGAGGAAGACTTAAGTCCGCTTAATGCTCTCGAAGGTGAAGAGACGAGAAACAGAGACAATTAGGAGGCGAAGCAGGGGCGGCGAAACGTCGAAATAGAAACAATTACGAGCGGAAGGTAAACCCTTCTTCGTGGAGCCTCGCGGATGCTACGGGCGACAGCGATAGCCATACCCCGGCGTCGTGTTGTCTTTCCGGGCATTGTTTCCCTCGCAGGCGCCAAGCCGAGGCGCAGTGTCGCAGATATAGAGCTCATCGTTCTTACGGAATTAATTAAAAGCGGACCAATCGACTTCGCTCTCGTCCCGAATTACCGCCGAGTCGAGGACGTCGCCGCGCTCCTCGAATTTCTTCCCACCCCGCGAGTCCACTCGGACGTTAAATTTTACGAGAACTTTCGAGACCGTGTGGCAGCTTCGCCACGTCGTCGTCGAACGCCAGGGTGAAAAATTCGAGACGGTCGAACGGCGGTCGGTGATAAGCGGTAAGCGTCGCGTGGCGAATAAAGTCTCGTGGAGGGTTGGTTACGCGCGATATTGTCTCGCGACGCGAAGATGCTACACCCCTTGCTGCAAACTCGAAAACTTGTCGCGCGATTTCTCCAGGCCTGTCGTCGCGACGACGAATAAACAACCGTCCTCGACGGAGCGGAGCGGCACACGCGCCGTCTGACTATATGTCGCTCATACTACTTGCTCCTACTACTTGCCAGTCCTGGCGGTGCATTATGCACGCCGGCGGAGCGAAGTTCGGAGGCGCGGGCGGAGGAAAAAGCGAGATACACGTAGCGAAAGATCATCTCCCGTTCACCTGGGATTCTCTGTCAGCGATACTTGGCGCGACGGCGAAGTAAAACGAACAAGTTGTCGTTTCGCGCCCGGCCGCGGTCGTTGGAACGCTCGTGGAAACGAGAAGGGGTTGCTCGCGGGTGATAAATCAATGCCAGGGGAATCGAGCAGGCGTGAATTATTTAAAATTCCGCCACGACTCGCGTGCAATTTTCCACGCGAGGATTATCCGCGGAAGAAATCGTGGCAGCGTCGGGTTTCGAGGCCGACCTCGGGGGGAACCTCTTACGACCACTCGAAATCGACTTTCCCGTGTTTGGATAAATTAAACGAGCTGTCAGAGCACGGCGGTGCATTTCGCGCGACTGACGCCGCGGAAAGACAGGAATAATATTACGGCGCTGGCAAGTCTGTTTGGCGAGTCTGCCTCGATGAGAATGCGCGGCATCGGGAAACTCTGCCGGAGAAATATGCCTCCCGCCGCGACCGTTCGTCTCGACGAGCCCTCCGCGGCCCTTTGGCCAAACAACCCGCGTGCGGACGCGCGTCCTCGCGATACAAACTTGGCGCAACTTGCCGGAACAGTCGTTAGTCTCGCTGGCAATTATCGCGATCGGAGAACGAAGAACGAGAGGGCGCGGTCCGGCGGAGAAAGCGGAGAAAGCGGATTCGCGGCGAGGACGAGTCGGCGAAACGGCGCGAGAAGAGAGGCAACGGCGTCGAATCGTTGCTTAATCGCGTGCTCGTTTCGCCAAGTGGCACTCCGACGAATTTCAATCGCGCTCGTCGGCCAATTCCGAGCGTAATGCGATGCAGATGCAGAAACCACGCGCGATTTAGCTCCCCCAGTACGCGGTAGCGTGCACACACTCATGGTCGTCGTTAGGTGCGGGACGTGGCGCGAAATTCCCTGCGACCCGGGTCTCTACGATGCGAGTCGACCGGGTGAATAGCTGTTTGCTGCGCGAGACAGCGCGTGCATCCAACGCCATCCGCCGCCTCTACGCCCGCACTGTTTCCCTTTCGATAAGGAACGATCCCCGCTGCCGTTTACGATCCTCCGCTCGCGACGCGGGGCAAAATCGAGGCAGCTCGCAGTTGTAACCCGAAAGAAACACTCGTTGCCTCCGGAAGAACAAACAAGACGCGTTAC